GCATGGCCATTCAAAACTGTAGACTGCCTTAGGCCTCAGCCAATGGAGAATGGAGAAGGCTGCCAAGTGCCCCCAGGTAAGTAAACAGACGACCGCCATAACCTTACGGAACAGAACATTGAAGCCATCGCCTGCCTCCCCTCCCCAACCAAAGGTCCAGTTTTCCTTCAAAACCTTCCACCCAGCCCTCTGTTGGCAGAACCCAGGGCAGTGGGTCCTCCCCGGACAGCAAAGCCCTCTCCACGTTGCTGCGCCAGCAGGATGAAATGTCTCTGGGAGAGCAGGTCACAGGTGACGACCCCACATGAGTTCAGTCGGGTACCTACCTGGGACTTAAAGCCACCGGGGAGACACCTGAGTTCTCCGAGCATACGCACTGCTAAGCAGATTCCTCCTGGAGCACGGAGCCCTCACGGCAGGGGCACCGTGGGAAGGCCTGAGGACACCCTCCCTCTCGATTCTGCAGCTGCCCAAGGAGGGCTCTTGGGCACTTGACCACCTTAAATTGCAAAGACAGCGTGCGTTCGCCACACCTGGAAATCGAAGCTGGTTCTTTTCCCTGGCATTCAAACGGACTTTTCACACAGGGCTTGGGCTTTTCTCTCAGCCTGAGTTGGCACAAGAGAAGCTGGAAAGGGAGGGGCAGGACAGAGGGAAAGAGGGGAACAAAATGCACCCTCAACCTGGGGGCGGGGATGGGGGAGCTTGATAATCAGGCCCAGTGGAGAACAAGCTGATCGGGAGTTTGGGGCGCCGTGGGAGGGATTCAGCTTTGTTCTTCCTCAATAAGCCCCATGGAATGATGTTAATTGTTACTTTAGGTGTGTGGGGTGTAGACAATTTGTAAGGTAGGAGAAGAGTCCTTTGGCTGTGACCAGAGCTAGCATAATGGGGCTGTAAAGACTAGAACTTTTGAGTTCCTTAAACTCCGTGAAGCCATCAAATACCTTCCCTGCAAGTTGGCACTTGCAGCTCAAGCCTTCACGTCTTTGTTGTGCAGTAGGGGTAATAATCACCCGCACTGCAAGAAAGGCACGCTGGCTGGCGGGGACGTTGGTTGCACAAAGCATTCTTTGGTTAAAAAAAAAAAAAACCATGCAATAAAAAAGAAAACTGTTTAAGCTTAAAAAGTAAAAAGAAGCAGTTGGCTCCAGTTGTTGAAATGTTTTATAAAGCAACAGCAAGATTAAAAAAAATAAAAAATAAACTGTCCCAGAATGCTGAGAGAGGGCCAAAAATATTAATATTCAGGAACACGGCAAACCTTCCGCAAGCTGCAAATATTTCCTTCGTCCCCCACGTCCAATCAGGAAGGATGGCTGTCCCTTTTCTCTCTCCGCTCTTCCTGTGTGAAATCTATGCTGAATAACACGTTTTCTGGAAGAATAAAACTCAAGTAGTAGGCGGAGAAAATCATGTCCGTCAGAGGTCCGTGAATGTCTTGTTTCAAATATCATAGGGAGGAGGCTTCCACTCCCAGAACCAGGAGAAGAGAGGAAGGATATCCATGAAACAAATTAAAACCCCACCACGGGAAATAAAAAATAAACAGGATTTCCTACATGCAAATGTACTCATTTGCTGAATATGGTATGCATACGAGCGAAGAAATTCACTGAGGGAAGGATGGTCAGATATGATGCAGGACGCCCAGCAAGATTTAATTTCAGAGAAACAACATGTAATTTGTTGGCCTAAGTACGGGCTGGTGTAAGTGTGCTCGGGGACGTTCAGATTTCGCCGGACATCCTGTATTGGCTGAACCTGGCAATCCTACTGACCTGGTGGGCCATGCTGGTGGCCGTGCTGATTGAAGACTGATCGTTCGCACCCTGATAGGACAGGGAGCCCGGGCTCTGGCTGAAGTGAGTCCCGTGCCCATGGCTCAGGAAGGTTGTTCGGGAGGCCCAGGCGGGGGGCCGCTCAGGACCTCACACCATCTGGGCCCTCCGTCAGCTTCAGCTGCCTGAAAGCAGTTTCAGGTGGAGGCACAGCAGGGCCAGAAACTTCCTCGCAAGACCACTCCTCACCTCGGAAAAGCCAGAGCTGGGCTTCTTCCCGACTATTATTTGCTGCTTAGATTGGACACCTGCGGCCAAGCCCAGCCGCCTGAAAATCATCCAGAGAGAGAAGGGCATCGTGACGGGTCCAAAGAGAGCAGAGGACCAGGGCACGTGGACGCCCCATCCTCCTGCAGGCCCTGCCCCTGCGGAGGAAGGACTGCCCCCCCAAACCCAGTGTTCATGCTCAGACGGGAGACTTTCAAGTTTGCTTCAAATCCTTTCTCACCCACCAATTGTTGGAGCCAGTTTTCCCTTCCGCGAAACGGCCACGAAGGAATCCCTCTTCCAAGAAATTAGAGAATGTCGGCAGGCACCCAGCCAGGGCCCGGCGAAGGCTGGTGCCATGATGGTTCTGAGGCCTCAGGATGGCCCAAGGAGCCACCCCAGGTGAGTGCTCTCTTGCCTCTCAGGAAAGAAGGAATCCTGCCGTCCAGGCCAGGCCAGCAGCAATCCACAGCCTCTCCTTCAAAACTGACATCCTCAAGGAGCAAACCCCAGTTCCGCTCGGAGCCCCATTTCCATCTCCCCACACTGTCCCCCAAACCTTCTGTGCCTCGAGCTGAGACAGCCGACAGGCTACCCCTCGGGTGACACTCTCCATTGCTGGTGAGTGCCAACAGCTCCGACACCACGTGGAGCTTTTTATGTTTGCTCCCCCCCACCACCTCCCCAGCCTCCTAAGATCCACACAAGTTCATTTGACAGATGAGGACACCGGCTCAGAGAGGTTAGCCAACTTGCCCAAGGTCCCCGAGATGGGACACAGCAGAGCAAGGCTTGAGGCCACATCCAGTCCCAAAGCTTGTGCTTTCAACCTCAAGACTCTCCCAATTTCTCATCCTGCCCCCCCCCCCAGTGCCCCCTGTAGGTATCTCTGAGGAGAGTGGGCAGGACCAGAGAACTCTCACTATCCTTCCAAGCCCAAGTCACTCCTCACCCGCTCTGTGCCTCCCTGACTCAGCCAGGGGCATGCTCTCCATCTCCGCATCCTACTCTTACTCCATCTACCGCTACAAAATGAGGCCCTATCACCTGGTCCACATCCATGTCCCTACTCCACGGACTGCCCAGAAGGCATCGTGCTTGCTTTTCCATTTCTGTACCCATCCCACTTTCCAGGGGCGCCTCCAGCTGCAGCGGCCTCCTTAGTGTTCTCCGGACACTCCAGGCCCGTTCCAGCTCAGGATCTGAACTTCCCTCCTCCCTGGAACCTTGCAGGCCCCCCTCCCTCATCCAAGCTGTGCTCAAATGACCCATCCCTGGAGAGGTCTTTCCAGACCACCCACTCACACTAGTTCCTTCCATGCCGTTCAACCTTGAGCCTCCTTCCTGGTGTCAGCTGCTTTGTGGCTTGTGTCTCTCCCTGGCGTGAGCATGTGTGTGCGTTTGTTCACTTGCTTCCTTGTCTATCTTCCCTCCAGACACGCCGCCCCTCCCCCAGGGCGGGGGCAACGACTTAGCCGGTATCCCTCCTTCCTGGATCCCCAGGCACATCAGGGGAGCTCAGCAAACATTTATGGAATGAATGAACCCTCAGTGCTCAGCATATATAGACAGTCAGTAAATGAATTTATTCTTAATTAATCATTTTAACAGAATCATCTTGGAAGATTCCCAAGGGGGAAGCAGTCTTTGCCCCTCCTGCATGAGGGACCCTCCTCTCCCCGGCCATCCACTATTCACATTTCTTTCCAGGTCACTGACCCACTGTTGGAAGAATGGCAACCTCACAGAAAAGGCCAGAAAGAAAACCCTGGACCCACCTGGACACCTGTCCACCCTGTCCCAAACTGGCCATCCCACCAGCTTGCTCAGCCATGGGCATAGTGTGTTCTGTATTCATGAATCAACCTGTCCGCTCTCCTTCCAGCCCCTGCCTGTCCCCTCACTATTTTGGCTGAGTGGACAAAAGTGACCACCCCAATTTGGGGCCTTTACCCAGCACCTCCAACAGCCAAGAGAAGCATCACATGCCTTGGGTGTGGGGAGCATTGTTATAAGAAAATACAGCCTCCAAATAGCCCCATAAAGGCCCAAATCTGTTGACAAGGGAGGAAGGAGGTCAGGGAAAGGGAGGTAGGGAGACATGCCAGGGAGAATCACGGACACCTGTGCCCTCTCCGAGTGGCCTTGGTCATTATCTGGGAGATGACCCATTGGTCAGCAGAAGCATGCTGCCTCCCCTCACTCAGTCCCAGGAGGCTCTCATGGCTGCTCAGGCAGAAAAATGTCCCCCCGCCCCGTGCTGTCCATCCATTCAGTCAGTAGACCCATTTTCCAGTTCCAGGCCTAGGACAATGTGCAATGGTGGAAGCCTTTGGGTCAATAAGTCAGTCAACAAACGATTGAGTGCCCCAATTTTGAGGGGCCGGTGTTGATGGGCAGGAAGGAGTGTGTGGCTGTGGGGTCTGCAGGCCATCTTATCGGTGAGTTTCACTGGGGGATTGTTCTAAAGAGTGAATGCCAACAGACAGGCATGCATGTGTTCTCCCAAAGCCACGGACAGGAATACTCAGAGCAGCACCGCGGTGGCCAAAGTCTCGGGCCCCAAACCGGCGGCGGCAGGATGGAATCCTCCTCGGGAGTGGAGACGAACGGTGATTATTTCCTAATCCAGGCGGTGGCCGCAGGGGTGTGTTCTCTGTGACAGAATTCATGAAGCTTGGTACACCTCGGATGGGTACACGTGTCCGTTTGCACACTTGTCTCACATGTAGGCCTAAATTTTAAAGGGACCGGGGTGTTAGGTGTTGAGGTTTCCCCAGGGTTTCCCGCACAGGAGGGGGGCTACTGCCACGGGGGCCAGGCAGGTGGGCAGGGAGGAGGGCGAGGGGGCTCGGAGGCGGGCAGCAGGCGCACGGACGCTGCCCCACCCGGCGCCAGGTGCAGCGAGGCCTCCGCCTCCGCGTCCCGCGTTGCTGGGCAACCGGTCTCCCTGGCGACGCGAGACGCTGAGCCCGGGGCTGGTGCGTGCGGGCGCCCCTGAGACCTGAGCCCCATGGCGCAGAAACCTCTCAGCACCGCTGCGGCCGAGCGCATGAACCTCGTGGCCCAGGACGAGATCTGGTAATGTCCAGGATCCGGTCCCCCATGGGCTGGGCCGTTCCCACCTCAAGTGCACGCACCTGGCGGCCTCAGTTTCCCCTCCAAGTCCTGCAGGTGGTCGACCTCTGGGCGCGAGGACCGTGCGCTGGAGGTGGTCGGGGCGATGAGCTCAACCAGAAAGCCTTTCTTCCTTTTCTCTCAGGCACACCACTGAAGACGAAAGATATTACATCTGGCTTTACAACCATCTGCAGAGCTTTGCTTGTTGAGAGCCAACATGTTATTTTTAAGATTTACCGAAATGTATAAAAAGGAAAACAAAAATCTTAATATTTGTTCAATTTGAACGAGAGATAAATATGCTCTTTACATTCTCTCTTGAGTCTCCTGCTTTTTTAAATAGTAAGAAATTCTAACTTAAATCCTTTTTCTAAAAGATTTATGAAAAAATCCTTTTTCTAAAAGATTTATGTTGAGCAGACATTTGTAATGGATGTTTTTATTTGGCATTCTATTGAATTGCTAAATACACCATCTCTTTGAGGTTTTAACCAATATGGGAAGTTACTAATTTAGATGCAAGTAAGTAAAGTTTAGTAACAATAAAGCATAACTGCTTACCTCTTAAACTGAGTTATCCTATTTGCCATCTCTCAGATTTTTGCCATTTCCTTGTAAAACCTGTGTTAATCTCTTCATATTTTTCTTTAAACTGGCTTTGTTTCACTCAGATTTATTTTTATAGGAAACTTTATATCACTCTTGTCAATGGAAAGCCAGTATCATTTGGCATAAAATACACAACTATTAATTTTTGTAATCTTTGTCTTTATCTAAGTACCTCCTACTTGGCTCCTACAAAATCACCACAGCAGGTATGTTCTGTCCATTTAAAATGCCCCTTCCTCCCTTCTTCACCAGATGACTCCTATGCATCCTTCAAGACCCAAATCATATGGCCCCTCCTATATGAAGAGAGCTGGTCCAACCCTTAGACTGTTCTTCTGTCCCATGTCCAAAGTGGCTATTGAGCCCTTAAAATATGACTGGTCCAAATTGGAATGAACTGTAAATGTGAAATACCTACGAGATTTCAAAGATTTCACACCCCCAAAAAGTAATATTAAAAATTAACTTCACCTGCTTACTTTCACCTTTTTTTTTTTTTTAGTGTGGCTGCTAGAAAATTGTTAATTATGTACGTGGCTCATATTTGAGGCTCACATTACATCTCCATTAGACTAGACTCTGCTTTAGATGCTCAGTGCCCAGGGCAAAAAGCTTGTTCAGGGGGGCCTCCAAAACTGTTGAGACACTGGGGGATGGGGGTGGGGGGCAGATATTGATTCCAAAATAGGAAGAGAAACTTGAAAATCAAAATGAACGAATGTTGAATTAGATGTTTGCAAAATGTGGCACACCAGCTCTCAACTAGTAGGTCATTATATATAAATGATATTTAATGTGGAGCAAAAGCACGGCCAGGATTAGGGCAGGATAGTGGGGCCCCTGGTGGGCAATATTTAAGGAAGGCTCCTTCTCAAGTTCATGCAAGTGAAGGCTCTGCACTTGCAGGAACCTGGAAGGAAGCACCCCCTTAAATTTTGTACCCCAGAAGCCTCACTCTCCCCACCTCACTCACCATACCAAAATGAGGAATCTCATCCCTAGATGGCCCCTCAGGCAGAGCCGGCCTCCAGTCCTGTCTTCTCCCCAGTGTGCCACCCAACCAGGACCTCTGGTTCTTTCGACACCTGCCTCCCTCACGGTCCCCAGCGACAGGGACTCTAGCTTATTCTGGCACCCAGCTCCCTTCCTGGCACAGTCATCATTCAGTCAATGTGCATTAAAAAAATGTAAAATGTTCCCCAGCGGATCCTTTTAGGGTTTGCTACTTTCACCTTTTTCAAATACTGTCCAGCACTTAGGAACTTTCTTTTTCAGGAAATACCGCCTAAAGGCTGAAACTGAAGCACGGCAAAACTGGGCCCAGAACTGGGGATTTTTAACAACCCCTCTCGAGGAGGTAAGTATAAATTTGATGAGCCCAGAAGTGATAGAATTGATTATTTCAAGGAGTAAACGATAAGGAAGCATATACTCCACAAGAATAAAGTTCGTGTTGCATACGAAGACCGCTAACTCTGAAACCTTTCTTTCATGAATTTATTGAGGACCTACTATGTGCCAGGTATCCTCCAGGCGCTGCATCTGAATCAGCTCATTTAATCCGCACAAGGAGCCTTGCGCAGAGGAGGGTGCTGTTTTATGCCCATTTTGTAAATTAGGAAATTGAGCTCAGAGAATTGCGAAGTCATACAGCTAACAAAAGGAGGCACCAAGGAGAGAAGCTGGTCTGTCTGCTTCCAGAGCCTCTTGGCCTCAGACTGCCCATCTGTAAAAGGGATGAGAGTCCTCAGCTGCCTCCCTGGGCTATGGGGAAGTCTAGATGGGATGAGAAGTAGAAGCCAGGTGGATATACGAGGGATTACTGGGAAGATACTCTCGGTATTTTCCTAAGCCAGCTAGGTAACAAGAACAGGGAAAAGGGCCAGGTGTAATCAATAGGGAGTGGTAGGGATGTCCGCAGAAACTCCCGCCCCCATGCAGGGGGAGCCCCTCTCAGCCCAGCCGAAGGCTGAGCTTGCAGAGAGGATAACTCCATATTCCCATTGTTCAAGAGAGTCCAGAAATGCACATGTTTAAATGAGATCCGAGTCTAGAAGAGTGGCTCAGATGTATAAAACACCGTACAGATACCAAATGCCTATATGGGCTTCAGTGGGCTGGTGGCCACCAGACTACAGCCTTTCAAACCACCTCCAGGACAGGACACCCAGAAGCCACATTTCTTTGGGGGGATGCAGAACCACGTGAGAATCCCATAATTCAAAACATTCATGATTCAAGGCAGCGTAACCCCATTTGTAATTCACCCCATCCTGCTAGCTTTGAAATTATGCCATTCTTAATGAGTTTTTTTTAATACTTACAGAGTTATACAACTTGAAATGTTATGCATAAAATGAGTCCTTATTAATATTAAATGCATAAAAAGTCTATATTAATATTCCTTATATGTAATTAAATTGTAATTTCATAGAGTTCGAAATTGTTTTAAAAATTAAAAGGGGAGTGGGGGCTCTCCTCTAATATTTTAAAGATTGGCCCTGAAACCTCGTTGGCAATTATTTATTTGAGTCTGTAACCTGTGAAGTTTTCTCAAATTATGACTCGGGAGTATAAATTAGCAGGTTGCCAAAGGTGGTAGGGGACACGGTGGTTGATCGCTGTATCCAGAGGCTGAGCGGCCCGAAGAGCCAGTCCCCGAACGGCCCCTAACTGTGTGATTGCACCACGCTCCCGAACGTTTCTCAGCGCGGCTTTGGTCTCCTGCAAAATGCGGTGTCCTGGGGGGCCAATGCAGAGAAGGCTCCCACTAACCTCAGTCTGACGCTTCCCATCTCTGGGGATTATGTTGCAGTTGCTCAAGGGTGAAGAAAAACCCCCCACCCCAAAGCCTAAAATCGAGCTTCCCGAGCAGTTCCGCATCCGGCCCGTGACCCCAGTGGAGAAATACATCAAGGTTTGCAAAGTCATTTTGAATACTTGTTTTCCTAAGTAAGAAATAAGTGTGTTCACTCCAGGAGCACAAAGCCAACCACCAAAGGTAAGAACATAGTGGCAGCCGGCAGGTGGGAGGCCAGTTTCCACACCCTTCCTGAGCCCACAGGTAAGGAGCACATCGGGTTACTGGTCTCGACACAGGCAGGAGCCACAGCGTTCGGCCCTGCAGAAGCAGAGGGAAGCCAGGAGAATGAAGGGGTTGGTCCAGTCATTCAGCAGACATTTACAGGGACTGGGTGGGTAAAGGCCCGGGCTCTGGAGTCAGACCACTGAGACCCAAATCCTGCTCGACTGCTCACCTTCTGTGTGGTCTTGCACATGACTCGATCGCTCCATGTCTCCTTTTCCCCTGTATGGTGGGGGCTCACGAAAGCACCTACGTCAGCGAGTGGCGTCAGGGTTCCGTGGGATAATGCCTGTGAAGGATCTGGAATGTTACCTGGCACTTTTAGAGAGCGCTAGGGACGGCTAGCTATAAGTAGGCACCAGGTGCTGGGTTGGGTAAACAGTGGCAAACAAGAAGAGGAGACTCCAGCCCACAAGTCTGGTTTGGGGGGTGGGGAATTAGGGGGAGGCCACCGTGAAACAAGAAATTCAACAAAATTGGGGGTGTTTTTAAAAGATTTTATTTATTTATTTTAGAGAGAGAGCACGTGTGTGTGCACGAGAGAGAGAGAGAGAGAGCACGAGTGGGGGAGAGAGAGAGAGAGAGAGAGCACGAGTGGGGGAGTCAGAGGGAGAGGGAGAAGTAGACTCCCCACTCAGCAGAGAGCCCAACATGGGACTTGATCCCAGGACCCCAGGATCATGACCTGAGCCAAAAGCAGATGCTTCACCAACTGAGCCACCCAGGTGCCCCCCAACAAAATTGCTATTTGCTATGCTAGATGCCATGGAGAAAAGAGACAGGTGAGGTTTTGGAGGGTAACAGGGGATGGGGGATCCAGCCCTGGAAAGGCTTTCCAGCCAAAGAGAGGAGCATGTACAAAGGCCCTGAGGCAGAACAATTTTGGTGTATTTCAGGAACAGCAAGGGATGCCGTGTGGCTGGAATTTAGTGAGCTGGGGGTGGGTCAGAGTGGGAAGGGAAGTGAGGTGGATGGAGAAGTGGGCACAGCCAGATCCCACTGGACCTCAGGGGCCAGAGGAAGGAGTTGAGCCCAGTCTGCAATGGGAAACAGAGCGGTGGCATGGTGAGGACTGCCTTTTTGAAAGATCCTTGTGGTTGCGGAGTGAGCGACGGGCAATCCCAGAGGGGAGAAGACTTAGATGGTCTTTCCACCTGAGACGAGTCAGCCGTGGACATGGGTCAGATGCCTCTAGAACCTGCCGAGCTGGGTATATCCCCAGGCCTCCCTTCATGGGTCCATCATTTTGGTCCTGGATTTTGCCCTCTGCCAGGCTACGGAGAAAGCAGCTCTGTGTCCTGATGCAAGAAGGGATGTAAACTCACATGGAAGGCAGCCAGGGGTGGGAGGAGTCAGGCTCTATGAATTTTCTTTTCCTGATGCTCTCGGGGTCAGACAGAGCAGCAGGTACAAGGTGAGTGCTCAGTGGGTGAGTGCTCAGTGGATGAGTGCTCAGTGGTGAGTGCTCAGTGGGTGTGCGTCTGATGGCTGAATGAATGAATACACTCCAGTGAGATATGTTGAAGTGTTTTCCCCCCGATTATCCAGCAATATAGATTCACTGATATTTTAGGAATACAACAAAATAATAAAATAAGGAGCGCCTGGGTGGCTCAGTTGGTTAAGTGTCTGCCTTCAGCTCAGGTCATGATCCCAGGGCCCTGGGATCGAGCCCCACATCAGGCTTCCTGCTCGGCGGGGAACCTGCTTCTCCCTCTCCCTCTGCTGCTCCCCCTGCTTGTGCTCTCTTGCTCTCTCTGTCAAATAAATAAATAAAATATTTAAAAATAATAATAATAATAATAAAATATCCATATATACCCTGACCGTGGTTAGCATTTTGGGGAGCTCCTTCTGGATGTTTCGCTATGCCTCCACCACCCCCAAAAAATTGCTAGTTCTTCTTATTGTGTCTTGGCTGCTCGCCATACTCAGTACTTTACATGGTCCTCTTATTTTCACCACAACCCTAGAAGGTAGGCATAATTACCGCCAAACCCATTTCGTCCTTGGGGAAACTAAAGCAGAGGGCCTGGGGGGACAACGACCTTGATCCAGGTGAGAAGAGCACTTGGCCCATTTCCTTCTGAATGTCCTTCCTTGCTGAAGAAATGGTCCCCTTCTTCCTCCTTCCCATCCCTTCTTTGGGTGGCTAGAACCTTTTAAAATCTATTTATTTTTAACAGGTATCCTATACCCCAAAATGCATGCCCTGAAAAGCCTCTTTCCTCCTCTGACTCTCAGTTTCCCAGGCACCCTTCCAGAGACCGGATAGGCACATGCAAGCGCGTTGTGTGGATCTTTAGTCTTTTTTCCTTTGTTGCACTAATTATGCCATATTTTATCTATTTTATGCACCTTTTTTTCTCTTAGCGGTTTATGTTCAACATGTCCCGTCTCAGAACATACAGGCCAGTCTCACCGTGTTAGACTGCCGTGTAGTATTCTCTCGTATTCCATCGTGCGCCACTGAGCGAGTCCCCTGCGGGTGACCTGCAGGCTGTGTCCGGTGATTTGCTATTACCCCAGGGCTGCAGTGAACCCCCACACCAACACTGGTGTGCACGCGCACAGATATGAGAATGTCTTAGGACAAGTGCCTGGGAGTACATTTCAGGTCAAAGGATGTTTGCATTTTCATTTTTGGTAGATAATTTCTCTGGTCACCCTTCATAGACAATGAACCCACTTGTTCTCCCGCAATGCCCTTGTTAACGGCGGTGTTTTCATCTCTCTGCCAACCTGGTGGATGAAAGGTGGCATTCCAGGGTGGTTTTCGATTGCATCTTCCTTATAAGTTGGAGGTGGACTTGAAAGCTAGTCTGTGTGTCCCAAGGGCCCGTCTGGACAGGCAAGGAAGAGCAGGCCCCTCCAGCATCTGTTGATGACCTTCCCTGAATGTGGCCTCTCAGGAGATTAATTTTAGCACTTCATCGAGAACATACATTTGGGGGCCTTGTGCGCAGGGGCAGCCAGCCCGCCAGGACCACCCTCACCCCTCCCCCCGCCACCACCACCACCTCCTCGAGCACAGATCCCTTGAGCTGAGCACCGAACGCATAACCCCACGCATCTGAAACCGCTCTGTCTCAGTTCTCCTGTTAGAACAAATATTCCTCATGTTGTCGTCATTCAAATCACCCTGTAAAAGCAGAACAGAACATCATTTCAAATGGAAGGGGAGAAACAGCCTGAACATTTGCCCTCATTTTCCAAATATTTCAAGTCTGTCCAAGGAATTGACAAATGAAACTGTGTTTTTTTCATCTCAGACAGAACCTCATTTCCCTTTGGTTTTTAATTAAATTCCATTGCTTTTCATTCCCATGGTCCCCACAGTCTGGGGTGTGCGTGGGTGTGTATACACACACATATCATAAAGCCTTCCCATCAAAACCGGCAGATTTATAAGTGCCAGGATACCATCTGACAATATTGTTCTATATTTTATAAAGAGTGGTGTGAACTGTAGTATTTGATATTTCTACACCTTACTCTTTTTTCCCTTTTTGCTCTTTTGTCAAATGAAAATTATTTTACTGGAGGTTGTGAATTAACGTGTTAAGCATGACCAGATAAAGAAACACATTCGGTGTTCATGACTTTTGCAGGGAGAAGTGAGTCTCAGGGTCCAGGCGATTGGAGCGTGGTTACCTTGGGCGCACCTTGATCAGGGATATTTTCTTTCCTGTCTTTTCCCCATCAGGTCTCCCATGCCGATCCTGATGCCTCCATGGACAAGCCTCATGTCACTGTGGCCCCAGGTGGCTAAACCCCATGCCTTTCCATTCCAGATCCTTCCATCCCCCCCAATCCCGAAGACAACCCAGGGCTTCATCGGCTGGAGATCCGGGGTGCCTGGCCTGAACAAGTGTCTGGAGCACGATTATGAGATCAGAAGCTGCAAGGGGGCATATGCCAAAGAGCTAGGCTGGCCGAAGCAAGGCATCCACTGAGTCCAGACAGACTGCAGGCCCTGGGCAAGAGCGGGTTGACCCAACCACCAGGCACCCAGTGTCCATGCCCAGGAAGGGGAGCGCTCCCCCAGCAGATGGGGTTCCCCTCCACATTTGCTCAGTGGATGTTGCAAAGAACATGAAATAGCCCTTTGACTTTTTCAGTTCATCAGCCCTCCCTTCCAGAACATTCTCATCACACACTCATTCTTGGTTAATGTAATGAATAAGGCAAAATAGATGCTCTGATTTTTTTTTTTTTATATACTTTGGGAATTCTAAGTATGGCTTTTTAAAAAACAACGTGATTTTATTTTAAAAACAAAATTTTGTCTAGGTCTTTTAATATTGCTTTCGATCCTGTACCTCTCACCACCTGTTTATGAGATTGTAGACCAGGAGTCTCTGCACCCAGACATTCCTGGGCCTGCTTTTCAGGAGGAACAGAGCACTTCAAGGATGCCTCAATTCTCCTTTCCCAGGATATTTGCAGTAAGTCAATAGCTTTAAAGGCAGAAATGAGCCCAAGATTTGCCACTGAGTATGGATTTCCAGGAGAGGATGGGTCTCCCAGGCTCTGTTAAAACCTGCCCCCCCCCTTACCTGCCCTGTCTCAGCACAGATGGCCGCCAAGCTGCCCAGCTAGGCCATTTTCCTTCCACCGTAGACATTTGACACTAACCCTGAGGTTTTGTTCCAGGTCCTACAAATGAGGGACAGACAAGAGGGTGGAAACTGGAGCATCCACTGGAGAGAGTGCCGGGGGAAAAGCCCGCATGCCCATAGCCCCTCCATCCAGACTAAGGAGCAAGAAAGCAGAGAGTTTGCTAGAAGCTGTGAAAGCTGGTTTGTGTAGGTTTCTCAGTAGCAGAGCTCAATGTCTTCTTCAGATCCACGGGCTGGGTTCCTTCCTGTGTTTGCTTGACTGGGGCCCAGGGGGACTTCTGTAGGGTGCAATCCACCCACAAAGCCCATCCACCCAAACTTTTCCTATTCACCTTCCTATCCAGGTGTGGATAGATGTGCTTTACAATCCAAGAATCCCTCATCTAGAACCTTCCCCCAACCCTGAGCACTGCCCTCTCTAGCAGGCTTCTACATGGATTCCATGATGTTGAGGGCATAAGATACCAGGGGGACAGAAATCCTACTGAATCTGGGCTATCCCCTGCAAGGGGGGCTCAGAGCCTCTAAATCCTAGAAGCCCCCTGCAGAAGAGCCCCTCGTGTTCAGAGATGTTATTCTCTGTAAAGTCTGCAGAACGTGATTTGAGTGAGCAGCCTTCTTACTGCACCGTGCTGGCTGCAGACGCCTTCAAAGCAGGCTACTCAGGTACGAAGAACGGAGCCACGTAGCAAAACTTACGCCCGGCCATCTAGTTGGCTCTCTGTTCCCCCACAGCCCTCCTCCAACCCAGGTTTCCCCTGGAAGAGCCAGAACACAAGAGAAGCAGCCACCTCAGGAAGCCTTGTTAGTCCCTCTGAGCGGGGCGCCCACACTAAGCACCTGCCACAGGGGCCACCACGGCCACCAAGAAATCCTACAGTCATCATGGCTCAGATCCCACCTGCCACCTACAGACCACACATTTGAAGGAGAAATGTCACAGCTCTTTAGTTTCTGAGAAAAAGAGAAGCAAGGTATTAGGGGTTGAATTGTGTCCCCCCCGCCCCAGAAAAGATATGTCGAGTCCTAACTTCCTGTACCTGTGAATGTGACCCAAAATAGAAAATAGGGTCATTGCAGATGTAATTAGTTGAACTGAAATGCGGTCATCCTGGAGGAGGGTGGGCCCTTAATCCAATATGATTGGTGGCCTTATAGGAAGAGGAGACGGATGACCATGTGAAGAACAAACACGCAGGGAAGGAGGCCACCAGGTAACAGGGACAGAAACTGGAGTAACGTGTCTACAAACCAAGAAGGGCAAGGATTGCTGGCAGGAAGAAGCCAGGAAGAGGCAAAGAAGAGTTCTATCCTACATGTGTCAGAGGGAGCACAGCCCTGCTGACACCGTGACTGTGGACTTCCAGACTCTTCTGTTCCTCTAAGGTACCCGGTTGGGTCCTTTGGTGTGCAGGCCAGGAGATGAGGACAGTAGAGAGCACATGGTGCCCCCTCCCTTCCTCCCCTGCCCAGAAAACACCCTCCTCCGAGCATATGTCTCTCTCACTGGTCTTGACCCAGGCCGTGTCTCCGTGAGAATGAGTCACGTGGCCCATTCAACTCTGAAGCTGTTTCCAGTCACCCAGATGTTTAGCCTGGTGTAGACTAAACAACGCGATGCTTGGCCAAGCCCATTCCTTTGCAAACCTAATGTTTTGGCATCTTGGTGATCACTGCAGGCAACGCATCTGCTCTTGAAGAAACCCAGGTCGTTTATTGGGATCAGATGCCACGACCATGGCTGAGCGGAGCAATCACCCGGCCCACCAGGATCGCGGCTCCGTCTGACTGCCAGGCAGGAGGCAGCAAACACCTGTGGGCTGGGATGAGCTGCCGAGGGCACGTGTTGCCTTTTGTTCTAATTCCTCCTCATAAAGCGAATCTGAGAGTCATCTTCCATTGTGTGCACGCCCATAATTGTTTGGCAGCAAAAAAGACGGGCTCCCTTGACCTGTCTTGACTCCTGCAGGCATCCCGACCACACCTGGACAGGGATTCACCACGCCCGATCCGACTCCTCTGAAACTTGCTGGTGTGACTTTAATTCTGATTTTAACCGGCTGGTCTATGTCGACTGGCAGCCTGACTTTAGCGAGACCGGTCAGCCGATACTGTCGACAGAAAATGCCCCGGGCGGAGCTGAGCAGGCGAACCCCCCACATGGACAGTCGAACCTCCAGACAGACCAGAAGTCAGGGCTGGAAAGGTTTTCAAGGCTGGCCCGCCTCTCACGTCCCCTGGGTACTAGTGGAAGCAACGGGCACATCCATACCCATGTCACATCCGTCCGACTCCAGTTTCTCGGAGGAAGAAACATCTGAGAGATCAACCCTTGTGCACGGTGGATGGGAATGCCCACTGGTGCAGCCACTGTGGAAACAGTGTGGAGGTACCTCGAAATTTAAAAATAGAACTGCCGTATGACCCAGCAACCCCACTTCTGACGATAAAGCCAAGGGAAACAAAATCTCCATCTCAGAGATATCTGCACCCCCATGTTGATTGTAGTATACATTATAATATCCGAGATGTGGAAACATCCTAAGTGTCCATCATCAGATGAAAGGATAAAGAAGATGTGATGTGTACTTATATACGCCATTTGCAACAACATGGATGGACCTTGAGGGCATCACGCTAAGTGACATAAGTCAGACAGAGGAAGACAAATACTGTAGGATCTCAATTCTATGTGGAATCTAAAGGAACTAAACTCATTGAAACAGAGAACAGATTGGTGGTTGTCAGGGAGAGAATGGGTAAAGGGAGTCAAAACATATAAACTTCCGGTTATAAAATAAATACATTATGGGGATGTCATGTACAGCACAGTGACTAGGAGTTCTAAAAATTTCTTTTAAAAAAGAGGGAGAGGGGCGCCTGGGTGGCTTAGTCGTTAAGCATCTGTCTTCGGCTCAGGTCATGATCCCGGGGTCCTGGAATCGAGCCCCGCATCGGGCTCCCTGCTCCGCGGGAAGCCTGCTTCTCCCTCTCCCACTCCCCCTGCTTGTGTTCCCTCTCTCGCTGCGTCTCTCTCTGTCAAATGAATAAATAAATAAATAAATAATCTGAAAAAGAGGGAGAGACTCAAAGTCTGAAGACGCACACACTCTTTGGACAATGAGAACACAAAGACATTTCCATTTCTAGGGAACTATTTGATGCTTTTTGTTACTCCTTAATTTAAGTGAAGCTTTACTGCAAGTTTATGGACGTGTGTTTAATGCCCCTTAAATTACTTCTACTTAACGTATCCAAGTACAAATTCTTCTTCATCCTTTTCACGTATCAGTACACAGACAGGTTGGGGCACCTGGGTGGCTCAGTCGTTGGGTGTCTGCCTTCGGCTCGGGTCATGATCCTGGGGTCCCAGGATCGAGCCCCGCCTCGGGCTCCCTGCTCGGCCAGAAGCCTGCTCCTCCCTCTCCCACTCTCCCTGCTTGTGGTCCTGCTCTTGCTACCTCTCTCTCTGTCAAATAAATAAATAAAATCTTAAAAAAAAAAATACACAGGTTTTATAAACGAACAACACCTTGAAAACCTCGGTTGGTGGGTTTTTCTCTGCCTCCAATAATTTATTTACCAACTAACCACATGTGTGTTTTATTTTAAGGAGTAAAAAGGGGCAATATTTCAGTGGGTATCAGACTCCACTGGCCTGACCCTCCCCACTCCCACCGCGCCCCCTGGCCTCTGTCTGACCTAAGCAATTGGGGCTGCTCTTGTGGGTTCATCCCACAGCACAAATGTTCAGTCAACAGCCCCATTTGAGAATCTAAGTGGACAACGCTCCACAATTCAATTACCCTGGACGGTTTCAAACTTGACATTTAATCTATGGAAATCAACTCTTTGTGGGTGTCCAAATGGGCTCATAAATGTCACCACACACTGTAAAATACCACAACATTTCCAAGGTCAAGGCGAGGCTGGTGAACTTGTGTCCACAATGCTGGAATACATCACAGCAATGAACCTCCAGATGGGCCTCGGTCTAACTGAGTGGCCTCTGAAGGATGCAAAACATAATTGGGCTGGGGACTCAGAATGGATTCTGTCACAAGCATATCTCAGTCCAAGACAAATTAGCAACTCCAACGTTTGAGTTACAAGAGAATTGCATGATCAAATAAAATAGGACTACTAGGAAACACGGCTCTTGTTGTTACACGTTCAAGTACACCTGAGTATAACGGCCCCTGTGCGCGGGGCTTCCAGGTCCAAAGCCTGGGACCAAAGCCTGTTTGAGAATTTAGGACTTTGTGGATTTCAGGTAATGCATGTACTGTGTATCACATAACCCCTCTGGCAAGGCCTGGGGCAGCTCCACAAAATTAAATCCATGAATATTTTTGTAGCAAAACTTAGGAATATTCACACCTGGGTGGTTCAGGCGGTGAAGCACCCAACTCTTGGTTTCGGCTCAGGTCATGATCTCGGGGTCCTGGGATCGAGCCCCGCCTCGGGCTCCACATTTAGCAGAGAGTCTGCTTGTCCCTCTCCCTCTGCTCCTCCCCATGCTCTATCTCTAAAATACATAAATAAATTAAAATTAAAATTA